AGCATATTGATAAAGGATAGAAAACATTTTCCAAAAATGCATTTATGAATTTTACGAGAAATCTAAACTATAAAGTCATTCTGATACCTTAATCGTTACAGCTGGAAAACAAAGTAATTTCTCTGTGAAAACAGTAATTCAGTCCATTTACTTTGAAATGAACAATGGTATTTAGCATGGATTAACAATTCTGAACAGTGAAGCTGATAAAAGAGTTTCTCTCCAAACAAATTAATCTTTTAACATCTTGGCTAATGAGAAATCTAAATATGCCCTTAGTGTTTGCATAAAGAAAGGGTTACTAAGACAACAAATCAAACATTGTTCTAACCATAAACTGTATGGCCCCGTATGGATAACGAAAGCAGCACAACGGAGTGAACACAGGCAAGGTAGTGTACCTCCACCTGCTCGAGGGCTCTCCAGGTATGCTGGGGGGGAAATAACCAACAGGAAAAATAACATGGAAAAAAACCACTTGAGATGAACTGAATTCACTGCAAAATGGATGGAATGTTGAGAGCAGCTGAACATCAGTTAGAACAAAACGAGAGAGAGAGAAAGTAGCCTCCACCAGACCCAAAGAGCTTATGGAGGGAGAGAAATCGAGAAGTGGGATTTCCAGAGTATCCTCCCCTCCTCAGAATTCCTTGAGGACTCCCAGTTTGTTCATATAACTAATAATTAAGTGGATTGCCCCTGTATAGATAATGAAAGCCACACAACAGGGCCGCCGATAAACCAAGAAGGGGTTTCCACATACTCAAGGGACTACCAAGACACACAAATCAATAAAAAGACATCAATCAATCAAAAAAGAAGTTAAAACCCCTAAAGACCAGCCTGATGAGGACCAGAGTTTCAGACTGTTGAGAGCAACTGAATGTCTTTAAGAGAAAAGAAGTGAGGGAGGAGAAAATCTGCTTGCTTTAGGCCGGAAAGTGTCTAGAATCCTGGAGGGGGGAATTTTGGAGAGGTGAGATTTCTCAGTTATTCCTCCCCACCTGTGATTCTGGGTAGAATATAAGCTTGTAACTAGGGTTACCAGTCCCCAGTTGGGGGTGGGGGATCCCCCGGTTTGGACCGTCTCCCCCCAGTTCAGGGCTATCAGAAACTGGGGGAAATTACCCTCCCCAAACAGGCAAGAAACCAAAAGGGAACATGATGTGTCTATGGGTGATTCCGCACTAGACCTTAAATTCTGGTTCAACCCTGTGCCCGAACTTTCATTCTACACTGCACTCGAGTTCACCCCTGTAATTATCTCGGGGTATTTTTTGTTTCTACATTACATTGAGGACACCCCAGTTTCGCCCCACACTTGTCCCGGGATAAATGGATACTTTATGCGCAAGGCCACAAAAATGGAGCTCTTCCGTCAGGCATATGGGTAAGGAGCCACGTCTTACCATCTATGTCCTGTCCCAGTCTTATTCCCAGCCTGAGCCCACCGATAGTGGAGGTACTACTTATCTTATTATAGTCACATCACCATCGCTACGTTAAGGGTTTTAATAACTTACTGTGTTGTTTTATCTATGGCTCTCTTGTAAGCCGCCCTGAGTCTGTCCCGGCAGGGAGGGCGCGGTAAAAATCTAATAAATAAATAAATAAATTATAACCAGGGATAAATGCAAGGTATTGAGTCGTGAGTTGAACTCTGATAAAACCAGGGATGAGAGCCAAGTGCGGAAAGGACCCCTATCACCCAGAAGTGGGCAGAGACCCAAATGTGGCCCTTAGATACAAAAAACCTTACCCACCCCTGCATTCTAGTCATACAGTCCTTGCTAGGGAAAAAATGTTGGTTGTGTAGGTGCTCAGTCGTCTTGTATGGTGGGAAGAAACCAAGGGCACAACTGTGGCCAGAGAACAGAGCTCGATGAGAAGTAAGAGAAATAGAACCACATCACCAGATGGCTTTAATTTTCTTCAAAACAGACATGAAGAGGCAGGGAGGGATTAACTCATCCCACCAGGCCATTTTCCTGAAAGTAATCCCACCACCACCACAATTATTAGCCTATACTTTCCACCTGCAGGGCTAACAGCTACTTGACAAAGAATGCTTTCTCTTGGGAGGAGGGAAAGGTTTACCTCCCCTTGTCCCAAGACCACGACTTGAATCCAAAGCGAGTGTGCAAAAAACACATACAGCTGCTTTGGAGGGGGGGGGGGAATCTGGTCTCAGATCTCCAAGACATCATATTGAGCCACGTCATTTATTATCATTTATTCTTTGCAGTGGCTTATTGTCAATAGACAATGCAAGAAAGACACTGAATGATGACCAGATGCTTGGTGAGATATCCCTAAGATGACATGAATGAACGGGATAAGCAACAGAGATGTTATTGGCATTGCCCTGGGCAGATGACTCCATTCAGCTAAACTTGTGCTATGATTACTATTGACCCTTTCTTCCATGACACACTTACTGTGATGTCCTTGCTTATAAGGGAAACGGTTTTACCTTTAAAATACTCTCTGTGTATATATATTTGGTAGTTTTCTGCTGCCACCAGAAATTAAAAATTCCAATTCTCTCTCTTTTGGTAGTACGATTTAGGGTCTGGGCACTTCAGAGGACTATGTGGCCCTGAGGAAGTACTGTACTGATTTCTGGGATACGTTTAAACAAAAAATGATTTATTTAATAAAGAACAAAGTAGGTTTATGTTTATTTTGAACAGTTGCTGAAGAAAGGTACTTGTAAATATAACTGGCAAAGCTTGGTGTTACAAACAGTCTCTTAATCTCCAAACTCCACTCTGACAGGCTTGTACACTCAGTATACTCTCTCTTATATATAGCCACACAGGCTAGTCTCTGTTTTATTCACAAAGAATAGAATCAACTCTCTTAGTCACACAAACTAAACTGTTGGTCTTATTCACAGAGAATTAGACTCAAAATTTCATAGTCACACAGACTATGCTCACTCTTCAAACTTTACACACAAAATCCCTTCAAAACTCTTCTATACTTGTCTCTCTTCATAGACGCACACACACAAAATCCTCTCAGACACCCCTCCTCCCACACTCTCAGTCATCAGCCAATCAAAATACACTCACCTCCCTCTATCACTCTTCTTTCAGTACTGCAGTCAAACTAAACATCTAAAGGAACACACACACCAAAACATGAAATCATCACACTTACAAATTCATCAAAAGCCACAGCATGCCCCTACTGTCATCTAGGAAGTTTCATGTATTAAAGTCCCTAAGATAGCAAAATCTCCCACTCAAAAAGACTTTGGAAATCGACACTCTTTGCAATTGCAAAAAACTGTAGCGCATTCCCGTACGGATAAGTACACGGACAACAGATGCAAACAGAACCACTTCTGGGATAAGGAGCAAACGTATTCAGCCCTCAACAAGGTGACTTCGTGTTAGCAGTAATTTTAACAGCCTACTTCTTGGAGAAGGTAAAAAGCCGTACCTTCAATTGTAATGGCTTGATCCGCTCTCCTCTCCGGAGCCAATGCAGCCGCGCTCTGGTGGTAAAGCTGAGCCCCGCTCTTTGCTGTCCCTAGTCTGTTCACCAGCTAAAGAGAAGTGTGGAATGTTAGTTAAAAATATGTGAAGGCGACTGGCTAAAGAAGAAAGCCGATTCTTGCCTTTCCGCCACACCTGCTCACAAAGACTGAAGTTTCTACCTATGCATGAATTTTCGCTGCCGTTTCGTAAGCTCGTAGAATTGACGTTCCGGGGGAACATATTGCTTCTCCGCCATCTAAGAGAAATTACCACACTACACCTGTGTCCATGACAATACCCCTGCTCACCTCACACTCGTAGAATCCCACGTCGTCCTTACAGGCATTTTTTATCACCAGGACAATCACACCACTCCTTTGCTCACTGAAACTCTGGTGCTTATTTGGGTCAGTCAATAGATTTCCATCTTTATACCACCTGTTGGTAGAAGAACAAAGGAGAAAATGGAGGAGTCCTATGTGGAATACATTGACAAGGATTAGAGTGTGGGCAGAGGGTAAAGAATGACATTTATGGATGGGATGGAGAAAGTAGATAAAGAGAGCGTCTTTCCCCTCTCTTGTAAATAGGGATGTGAATTCGGTTCGTCCAAACCGAATGCACCCCCGAAAATGGCCCATTCGGACCCCTTTCGGGCTGCTGCAGGCTGATTCAGATTCTCTGATCTGAATTGGCATGCTGCCGAATTGCCGCCGAATTTCGGCGGCAATTCGGCCCCATTATAGCCTATGGGCCATTGAAGTCAATGGCAAAAACATAAGGTATATTCTAGGGGCTGGAGGGAAGGGGGTTTGAGGGAGAGGCTCCAAACTCGCAGGGTAGCTGCTGGAGCCTCTCTCCCCGAAAAACGAAAAAAAGGGGGTCCAATTCTTCTGCCCCCCAAACAGGTTGACCCTATCCCCTCCATTGTTCTCTATGGCGGGAAAAAATAACTTTCTTTCCCACCATAGAGAACAGGGGAGGGGATGGGGGCAACCTGTTTGGGGGCCTGTAGAATTGGACTCCCTGGTCCAATGCTCTTGAAACGTGGTTGGTATCTTGAAGAGAGGCTCCAGCAGCTACCCTGCGAGTTTGGAGCCTCTCCCTCAAACCCCCTCCCCTCCAGCCCCCAGAATATACCCAATGTTTTCACCATTGACTTCAATAGCCCATAGGATATAATGCAGCTGAAATTGACATTCGCCTGGCGGAAAGACTCCTGAAACTTCTGGTACTGACGAAACTGACATGCGGGAGTCTTACTGCCAGCTGAAATTCATTCTGCCCGATTCAGCCGAATCCGAATGGGCCGAATCTTTTTTTTTTTTTTGCACACCCCTACCTGTAATATTCAAACTTAGGAGCAACCAATAAAGTTGGCGGGCAGTAGATTCAGGATAGAAAAAGAAAATACGTCCTTACTCAATGAGTAAATTGAGACATTCACAGCCAATGGATATAGGGATAAGCACTGGTATAGATTTTCAGAGAGCTTTCAAGACTTGAAGCTCCTGTGATGGATGGCCAGAGAGGCAAGAGATGGAGCGGCAGTCAGATTGGCTAAGGGCCCAGGAACACACCTAGGCTGGTGGCCTGAAAGGGGGAGCTATTCCTTTGTCTGGGGGTGTCGTTGTTGGTCGTGGGTTGTGGTGTTCATTAGGGGAGCTGCCTCTCCCAGGTGCTTTGCCATGAAGGATGATAGAGTGGAATGATGCTAAAAATGGCTGCAGACAAACCAGGGAGGGAGGCATCATGCAACTAACAAAGACCAGATATACCATGGATTGTAAGTACCTAGTTGGTCAGTGTCCTTTCTATTTCATGTAGCGCACCTAGACCAGTTCTACTAATACCCTGAGTTTGCGCCTCATTGAAATAAAGTTGTTTAATTAGAGAGAGTCTGCAAAAGTCCTTGCCCACCTGGCTTGGATACTGGGCATGCTACAGTGACATCTGACAAGGTATAGATGGAACTCTATGTCTGGAGCAGAGATGCTCTGTCTTCTTGGTGCTTGGGGGGCAACAGTGGGAAGGCTTCTGGAGTTCTGGTTGGGCTGGTGGACTTCCTGATGGCCCCTGGTATTTTTGGCCACTGTGTGACACAGAGTGTTGGACTAGATGGGCCACTGGCCTGATCCAACATTGGCTTCTCTTATGTTCTTAAGAGCAAAGGTCCATCAATGGCTATTAGCCACAAGGTATAGATGGAAGAAGAAGAAGAGAAGAGATTGGATTTATACCCCGCCCTTCACTTGGAGTCTCAGAGCGGTTTACAAACTCCTTTCCCTTCCCCTCCCCACAACAGACACCCTGTGAGGTGGGTGGGGCTGAGAGAACTCAGCTGTGCCAGAGCTTGTGACTGACCCGAGGTCACATCAGCAGGTGCAAGTGGAGTAGAGTCCACATACTTAACCACTACACCAAACTGGCTCTGTCTGGAACACTCTGTCTGGGGCAGTGATAGTCAGCTCCATAGCTAGGGAATTTTTTGGGAGGGGGCCTTGGGGGGCCTGCCAGCTAATTAAATGTAAGTACAGTGCAGGGGTAAGTTGAAGCACTTTGGGGGCAGCCTGGGAGGGAGGGGGCCCAGAAGAAACACTAGGGGGGCAGGCCCCGTGGGCCCCATGTTAGCTATGTGCCAGAGTCTGTCTTCTTTTGATAGCCTGTCTTCCACCAGGCTTTTAATTAGGAGCCGCCCACCACTACCACCAACTACCATCATGAGTAACATCGTGGCAATAGGTTGGCCTATTATGAGATCGAGCGGGACTTAGTACTATATTTTATTACACGCCATCTCAAATTGACTGAAGATCGACCATCATTGCAAGCACTTTAACTGTATGATGTATAACTGTTTTATCTTGTTTTTAAATGTTTTATACTGATTCGGCACATGGTGCCGTTAACTGTGAGCCACCCTGAGCCCGTTCACGGGGAGGGCGGGATACAAATCTAAATAACAATAACAACAACAACAACAACAATAATAATAACAACAATAATAATTATTATTATTATTATTACTACTACTATTTTTGTTGTTGTTGTTGTAGTTCTGGTTGGGCTGGTGGACCTCCTGATGGCACCTGGGTTTTGGCCACTGTGTGACAAAGAATGTTGGACTGGATAAGCCATTGGCCTGATCCAACATGGCTTCTCTTATGTTCTTATGTCTGGGGCAGTGATGCTCTGTATGCTTGGTGCTTGGGGGGGAACAGTGGGAGGGCTTCTGGGGTTCTGGCCCCACTGGTGGACCTCCTGATGGCACCTGGGTTTTGTCCACTGTGTGACACAGCGTGTTGGGCTGGATGGGCCATTGGCCTGATCCAACATGGCTTCTTTTATGTTCTTATGTCTGGGGCAGTGATGCTCTGTATGCTTGGTGCTGGGGGGGGAATGGTGGGAGGGCTTCTGGAGTTCTGGCCCCACTGGTGGACCTCCTGATGGCATCAGGGTTTTGGCCACTGTGTGACACGGAGTGATCGACTTGGATGGGCCACTGGGCTGATCCAACATGGCTTCTCTTATGTTCTTACACCCTTGTGGCGTCAGCCCGATGCAACCCATGAGAGGGAATGGGGCTGGATTTTACCCGAGGTGGTGCCAGTGATGGTAAAAGGGAGGGCAAGACAGTGCCAGTCTTGCCCCACAAGGTGACAGAGATCATGATGGGTCCCTTCACCAGTGTCTCTTAAGGTGCTATTGGACTCTAGATGTTCTACTGTTGGTGACCCCAGGCCCTAAGGAGGCGAAGCTTGTTGCAACAAGGGCCAGGTCCTTTTCGGTGGCGGCTCCTACCTGGTGGAACGAGCTCCCGGAGGAGATCAGGGCCCTTTGGGACCTTTTACAGTTCCGCAGGGCCTGTAAAATGGAGCTCTTCCACCAGGCTTTTGATTAGGAGCCGCCTTAAATACCAAGGAGCAACCCTGTGCCCTGGTTCTACCACGTTCAGCCTGGTTCGCCGCACAAATCAGTCGATCTATCCGAGCCGATATGTGTATACCATCAGGGACTATCACCTAAGTAGTGGTGTGGCTTAATCTAGGAATTTTTTGCTCCTGAACTTTACTTGAGTACTGTTCTGGCACTTTAGGAAATGTTTATTGTTGTTTTATATATGATTTACGGTTTTTTTATGTATGGTTTTACCTGTATTCATGCATGTGTTTTTATGTAAGCCGCCCTGAGCCTGCCTCACAGGGAGGGCGACCGCAACCCTAGAGTCGGACTCGACTGGCTTTCGAGCAAGGGAAACCTTTACCTTTAAGCCGCCCTGAGCCCGCTTGCGGGAAGGGCGGGGTATAAATGTAATGAAAATAAATAAAAATAAAATAAGCATGACTACCCTCTGAATACCTCACAGGATTGTTGTAAGGATAAGATGGAGGAAAGGAGAACTATGCAAGTCACTTTGGGTCCCCACTGGAGAGAAAGGCAGGGTACAAATTAAGGAAACAGATAAATATTTTTTAATGTGATGAAATAAGAGCAGGACGACTTACCTGATCTGGGGGAAAGGGGCCCCTTCAATGGTGCACGTAAACTGCGCGTCTTCGCCATCCGCATAATACGCATGTTTAACCTTGTTGACGAACCGAGGAGGAACTGGAAAGCAAGATTAAGCCTAATGGGTTTTTGAAACCACATGGCTGAAAACCCAAATGGATATATACTCAAGCAAGCTGAGAACAACTAAGGGCTTATTCAGGAAAAAACAACAACAGTGTCCCGCATTCCTTGTTCTTCAGCTAGAAGCACACAACCGGGAGCTCAGAAAGTGTCCGGAAGAAATGCAAGGCCATCTCTACCCTACGCCAGCAAAGCCAGTCTTTTCCTGGCCATGTGCTCGTTTCTGTCAGCTAAATGGACTGGGGGACGAATCCAGGATGGTTAGCCCCACAGTCAAGCAAGGGGAGATGGTAGATTGGGATGGGAGCAGTGTTCCCTCTAAGCTGAGTTAGTGTGAGCCAGCTCACAGTTTTTTAGCCTCCGGCTCACACATTTTTGGTTTTAGCTCAGGAAGGACAGCTGCAGAGCAAACTAGTTTATGCAGCGGCCAAATGGCTCGCTCACAACTTTAATGCCAGCAGCTCACAAAGTAGAATTTTTGCTCACAGGACTCCACACCTTAGAGGGAGCATTGGATGGGAAGGACAGCAGCCTCCCCCTCTCTAAATTGCAAGCTGTCAGCCACTTTAGATGACAGTTTGCAACTGCTGCAAGTTAATCACTTCTGCCAGCCGAAGCAACCCTTCTGAGAACCAGCCAGCAGGTGGGGGTGAGGACTTCTATAGTCAAGAAAGCTAATACTTAGCTTGGAACACTTTAATGCCAGTCGCTCACAAAGTAGGATTTTTGCTCACAAGACTCCACACCTTAGAGGGAGCACTGGATGGGAGGGACAGCAGCCTCCACCTCCAGAGCCGCCTACCCTGCCACTGCATTACACACACACACACTCCAGAGCCAGAGTAGCTAATGCTGCTTCCCTCTGCATTCTCCAGGCATCTTTAAAGACAGCACAGCAAGCTGCATGTGCCGGTCATGGCTTCCTGAATTCTCACAGGAATCTGGGAAGCCCCATTAGGCATGCACAGCTTCCCATGCTGATTTAAAGGGACTTGGGGAAGGAAGGAGTCTCACCTGCTCCTGGATGGGAAAAGAGTGGGGCAATGGAGAGGGGGAGGCAGGGCACACCAGGCCGGTGGCCAGGATTTTGTGGCTTGCGGGGCAGATTGTTTTCCGTGGGGCTGAATTTCTCAGTGCAGAAAGAAAAGATGTTTCGCCAGTAGAAAAGTTGTTACCAATGTTCCCTCTAAGCTGTGGAGTCTTGTGAGCAAAAGTTCTACTTTGTGAGCTACCGGCATTAAAGCTGTGAGCGATTGATTTGGCTACTGCATAAATGAGTTTGCTCTGGAGCCCTCCTTCCTGAGCTGAGACACAAATGTGTGAGCCGGAGGCTAAAAAACTGTGAGCTAGCTCACACTAACTCGCCTTAGAGGGGACACTGGTTGTTACCAGGATAGATCTCTAAATTGCAAGCTGTCAGCCACTTTAGATGACAGTTCGCAACTGCTGCAAGTTAATCACTTCTGCCAGCCGAAGCAAACATTCTGAGAACCAGCCAGCAGGTGGGGGTGAGGACTTCTATAGTCAAGAAAGCTAATACTTAGGCAGAAACACTCTCTTAAAGGAGACCAGTTAGAAGGCATCCTAGAGGCCACCTACTCCAACCCCCCTGCTCACTGCGGGAATTAGTCAACTACAGCACCCCACTCTGCATAAAGGAACACATGCCTTTAAAAACATTTTAAAATGATTGGAAAAAAAAGAATTCACAGGAGAAATTCTTGTGGAACCGTGCCTTTGAGAAAGGGGGCAGAGCCTCCCAACCACCCCACCATAGCTATGTGCCTGGGGCACAGGCAACAAGAGGATAGCTAGAGGGGGCAGCAGCAACGGGGGCAGTATCCCATATTTAGCCATCAGATTGGCCCGGACAAAAGCATTCTATCTAGCAGAGTGAACAAACTGGAGGATGTCTCTCTTAGGGCAATTTCAGAGGGAGGCCTTCTTCCTTTCTCCGTCCAATTGCTATGGCAGAAGTTTCTGTTAGTAACTCTGCCTATCTGTAGCAGCTTCCAAACTCCTGTGTAGCCAAAATGGTCAGGCTAGACCGCTGTCAGAGGAAGCCCTTGCTGTGGTCGGAATTTGTTGGGGGCGGTTTTAACCACTGGAGCCATACAGTTGATCTGTACGCAGGATGACTGAATAGCTTTGGATGAAAATGCAGTAAAGAGAAGTAAACAACCAGATTATGGGTTAGATCCAGCCAGGTTTTCTACTGAATCTCACCCAAGCCTCTTCCTTACCACAGAACCCATCCCGTGCGGCTTTTGTCCATGGAAGTCCCATGATTCCTAGCATAAACAGTTTGGGTGGACCCCTCCTTTTGTTCTCATCAGAAGAAAAAACGACTGGATCTAACCCTATGGGATTAGGTGGCAGCTATCAAGGTGGACTCATTTTGCATGGCCAAGGGTTTATAGCACAGATTCGACCCATATGCAAACGTGAAGACTTCAGTGGTATGTCCAAGCGAACTCATCACATGACGCCTGGATATTTCCATGCAGTACGCAACAGGCATGTTATCAGAAGTTCTTTGAAACACAAGATGCTTTACCTTGAACAAAGATCTTTCCCAGGGTACTGGCATTGCCAGCAGGGCTGGCGGCGTAACACATATACTGCCCGGAGTCGACACCCGCCAAATTGTCGAGGATCAAAGTGCAGGAACCATCAGGATCTTCAATGACAATGTGATGAGGATCCACATCCACTGGTTTACCATCTACATGACAAAACAAAATGACCCAGTTTAGCAATAATTGTCATCAGCCTTCGCCCTGCTTTTTGGGTGTTAAAGTGTGTTTATATGTTTTTGTTTGATTACTGGATGTATACTTTCTTTTGCCCTGACCTGGACAGCCCAAGCTAGCTAGCCTGATCTCCTTAGATCTCGGAAGCTAAGCAGTGTCGGCCCTGGTTAGGACTTGGATGGGAGACCATCAAGGAAGTCCAGGGTTGCTATGCAGAGGCAGGGAATGGCCAACCACTTCTGGACAGCCCTTGCCTTGAAAACCCTATGGAGTGGTTAGCTGCCCTGACCTGAATGGCCCAGATTAGCCCAAGCTCATCAGATCTTGGCTGCTTTGCAGGGTCAGCCCTGGTTAGTACCCACTGGTGGACCTCCTGATGGCACTAGTATTTCTGGCCACTGTGTGACACAAGAGTGTTGGACTGGATGTGCCACTGGCCTGACCCAACATTGGCGTCTCTTACGTTCTTATGGATGGTAGACCACCAAGGAAGTCCAGGGTTGCTATGCAGAGACAGGCAATTGCAAACCACCTCTGAACGTCTCTTTCCTTGAAAACCCTAAGTCGGTCAACAGTGGGAGGGCTTCTAATGTCCTGGCCCCACTGGTGGACCTCCTGATGGTACCTGGTATTTCTGGCCACTGTGTGACACAAGAGTGTTGGACTGGATGGGCCTTTGACCTGACCCAACATTGGCATCTCTTATGTTCTTATGGATAAACATCTGGAGCAGAGGTCCATCGGTGGCTATAAGCCACAAGGTATAGATAGGGACTCTGGGGCAAGTGATGCTCTGTCTTCTTGGTGCTTGGAGGGGGGGTCAACAGTGGGAGGGCTTCTAATGTCCTGGCCGCACTGGTGGACCTCCTGATGGTACCTGGTATTTCTGGCCACTGTGTGACACAAGAGTGTTGGACTGGATGGGCCACTGGCCTGACCCAACATTGGCGTCTCTTACGTTCTTATGGATGGTAGACCACCAAGGAAGTCCAGGGTTGCTATGCAGAGACAGGCAATTGCAAACCACCTCTGAACGTCTCTTTCCTTGAAAACCCTAAGTCAACTGGGACTTGAAGGTGCTTTCACGCATACTTTATTTTAATTGTTTTTAATGATGAAATGTTTTAATGATTGGCGTTCACCAGCTTGGGGTGCCTATTTTGGTGGAAAGGCATCTGTCATGCTACCCCGTGGGTTGCCACCTTCCTCTGCCACCACTTTGGACCTAGGGTCCCTTGGGAAGGCCCAGAGTACCCTCCCAAGCCCAACCAAAAATGCCCCTGTTAAGCCGAGAAAATATAGGGGTGATGACCAGGCAGAGAACATAAAAATGGTTTATTAATACAGTAATGGGCAAGGTGGAGCTGCGGTGGCTCAAGTGGTTAAGACGCTGAACTGCAGGCTGTGGAAGGTCGGTAGTTCAGCAGTTCGAGACCCGAGTTGCTGCATGACGGAGTGAGCTCCCATCTCTAGTTCCAGCTCCTGCCAAGGGTTAGGAGTTTGGGAGTGCTCCTGGATGCCCACCTTAACAATGGAGGCCCAGGTAGCAGCTACTGCCAAGGCAGCCTTTTACCAACTGGTTCCGTTCCTCGAACGCAATGACCTGGCAACAGTGATTCATGCTATGGTCACCTTGAGATTAGGCTACTGCGGTGCTGTCTACATGGGGCTGCCCTTGTCAGATCCGGAAGCTGCAGCTAGTGCAAAATGCGGCAGCCAGGCTCTCTATACGAGACCACATCCAGCCTGTGCTGAAGGCATTGCACTGGCTGCCAATAGCTTACCGGATTCGTTTCAAGGTGCTGGTTTTGACCTTTAAAGCCTGATATGGTCAGGGGCCTGCCTACTTGAGGGACCGCCTTTTCCCACATGTGCCCCAGAGAGCACTGAGGTCAGGGACACAGAATCACCTGACTCTCCCCGGCCTGAGAGACGCCAGGTTGGCCGCTACTAGAGCCAAGGTCTTTTTAGTGGTGGCTCCACACTGGTGGAATGAGCTCCTGGATAACATCAGGGTCCTGCGGGACCTTTTACAGTTCTGCAGGGCCCGTAAAATGGAGCTCTTCCACCAGGCCTTCGATTAGGAGCCGTCACTGATGAATGTGCCACCGGAACACGCTATGGCCCATATGAAACACCGGTGGATATTGCCTCCCTCTATGGGATTGTATATTGAAGCCGCCATCATCTGCATTGCTCTTGTTGGAATTTTATGATGTTAGGTAGTTGTTTATGTGTATTTTATTGTATTTACTGTTTTATTGCTTTAATGTTTGTTCGCCGCCTTGAGCCAGTTCTCTGGCAAGGCGGGATGCAAGTTTAAAATAATAAATAAAACAAATAAATAATAGCTGAATTGACTGTTTCGTATTCAGTTGCAGAGACTGCCGAATATTCCAGAAAACCGAAAACACTTAGCCAGCATTAGTCATACCTTTATACCAGGTGACACCCGGCTTGGGAGTTCCTGTTACGCGGCAAGCTAACTTGACAGTTTCACCAAGTTCGGCTGTGCAGTCAGCCAGTTCCTCCTCAAACTCTGGCGGATCTGAAAGGAAACAAGATTTAAAATCAATTGTTGTCCACCGAGAAGCCCAGTTTAGCTCAAGCGGGTCAGGGTTTGGGAACTAAACAGGGCTGGCCATGATCAGTACTTGGCTGGGAGACCACCAAAGAAGGCAATGGCCAGCCACCTCTGCTCATCTCACGCCTGGAACACCCTTTGGAAGGGGTCAACATAGAATCATAGAATCACAGAGTTGGAAGGGGGCGTACATGAGTCAGGCTGCGACTCAACAGCCTGTTGTTCGTCTTCTTCCTTTCTTCTTCCTTCACCAAGAAGCACGGCAAGGACACACTGAAGGGGAAATAGAGACTTGATAGTTCTCTTGACGGCTGCAAAGAACTTAATAGCCTCAACTTGGAAACAGCCACATGTTACCACGGTAAACCACTGGTATCAGAGGGTCTGGGACTATTTTATTGCTGACAAAATTGCAGATTGGGTAGTTCAACATGATGATGCAATGGTCCACTCTAATTATATGGATAAGTGGTCCACCCTCCTTAAAGCGCACATTGAAATTATACTTACCATAACAGGTCCTGTAAATGTAAACTATAATTCTTTATACATGCTTTATTAAATTCTTGAATATTTGGATAGGATTTGCATTTATATGTTCTTTAGGTAAAGGTAAAGGTTCCCTTGCTCGAAAGCCAGGCGAAACCGACTCTAGGGTTGCAGTGCTCATCTCCGTTTCAAAGCTGAAGAGCCAGCGCTGTCCAAAGACGTTTCCGTGGTCATGTGGCCGGCATGACTAAACACCAAGGCGCACGTAACACTGTTACCTTCCCACCAAAGTGGTACCTATTTATCTACTTGCAATTTCTTGCTTTCGAACTGCGAGGTTGGCAGGAGCTGGAACTAGAGATGGGAGCTCACTCCGTCATGCGGCACCTGGGTCTCGAACTGCTGAACTACTGACCTTCCACAGCCTGCAGTTCAGCGTCTTAACCACTTGAGCCACTGCAGCTGTTCTTTACTCATTGTTAATATGTTCTTTACTCATTGTTAACTTACGCATTGGTGGATAATATGCATTCAATTTGCTTTAGAAGTATATATTTATATATTAGAATCTGAAAATATCACATGCTTAATATTTTGCTGTTTGTATAATCACTTGCCCTGCATGTTCTATTACCATTAATGCATGCTCAGTACTCTGTGTTATGATATGTTGTTATAGTTTATAAATTAAATTAAATAAAACTAAAAAAAAAGTTGAAGGGGAAAGTTAATTGATGTAGAAGTACACAGCAAATGCAACGAACATGAAATTGAGCCAACTTCAGAGGACGGCGGAAGACAGGAGGGCCTGGCGGGAGCTGGTCCATGGGGTCGCAAAGAGTCAGACTCGACTGTGCGACTGAACAACAACAACACAGCAAAGAGCCTTAGGGAGAAGAGCTTCGAGTCGTCTTTCTCAGATGAAACTCACCCCAAACCGGCAGGCTGATGCGATGCTGGATACCACAGATTTCCTTCACCCAAGAGTTCTTGATGATGACAGTTCGGGCTTGAAACACGTATTTACGGACCGAATCTTCCCGCTCATGCCAGATCTCAAATGACCGGTCATCCCCTTCTACCAGATCGTTTACATCTATGTTTGATAGCTGGAGAATTGGAGGAGAGAGTGTTAAAAGTTAAGCGCCAGTAGAAAGGCTAACAAAATACGAGTTCGAGGCTAACAAAATACGAGTTCAAGGCTAACAAAATACGAGTTCAAGGCTAACAAAATACGAGTTCAAGGCTAACAAAATACGAGTTTTCCTGAGTGTTTAAAGAAGTGAGCTGTGTCTCACGAAAGCACATACCCTGCCACGAATTTTGTTAGTCTTTAAGGTGCTACTGAACTCTTGCTCTTTTCTAAAGCTGCAGACTTAACATGGCTACCCATCTTGATCTATCTCTGTTTTTTTAAAAAAAAATATCACTCTTTATTTATTATTAAGTTCACAACAAAAGAGCAATCCAAAAGTTAAACTTTTATAACATTATCACCCGGTAGATACTCCCTACGGTAAACATATTTTTTTTTACAATTTTTGTATACCAACATAACCACTCATATTGACACATGTTTGCAATAACCTTACGATTGTAAATCTTGATATGTCTCCATAAAAGTTAAGTAGGCTTGAAATAATGTAAATACATAAACAGCTAAAGCGGGGGTGTCAAACATGCGGCCCGGGGGCCAGTTCAGGCCCCCAGAGGGCTTCTATCAGGCCCGCAGTGGAACTCGCTGTCTTCTCTTTCTTCTTCCACTTCTGCTGCTGCTGCGTCATCATAGGTTTTCAGCTTACAGATACACACCTGAACAGCATACTCAAGATTGCAACAGCACAGACATTTTGAGGCAATAATTCAGAACAAGAGGTGTCAGTTATCAGATACGGTTAAATAAACAAAAATATGGCAGGGCTGTTAATGTTTTAAGCATGTTTTTATTTTAAGTAAAAAAAACCCACTTTGTGTTTGTGTCCTTTATAAAGTTTATATCTCAGCTACCTAGCATTACATTTTATGACACACCTGGCCCGGCCCAACAAGGTCTCATTTATGTCTGATCCTGCCCTCATAACAAATGAGCTCGACACCCCAGAGCTAAAGATTTCTCAACTCTAAACCTCTGCACTGGAGTTGGCTACGGCCTCCCTGCAAGGTTTTATTTATCTGTTTAGCCAAACAGTCTACTCTGAGATGGCCTCTGCTTACAGATAGGATGCATTAATCTATATATTCTAGACAAACTGTTGCAAGATAGGTCAACAGATCTTCTCAGTGTTTCTTTAAAGCTAAACTGCAGCCATACAAGTGCTAGTTCGAGCTGGGAGGTAGGGCAGGAGATTATTATTAAAAAATAAGAAAAATAACAACCCCACCTTCATCATGTTCTTGAAGCCATAGCTGTAGGTGTCTGTCTTGGTGTCTCGTTTGGGCTTGCAGACTAAGAGGTAGTTCTTGAAGAGGAAGACATGTCGTTTGTGACCCTTCCAGGCCATTCGGGATCCAGGGGCCCCCTCCCACACGATGAACTGTCCCTGAAGAGACAAGGAGAATTCAGTTGGCAGAGTTGCTGGCCTTTGGCAGAGGTTAGGAGCACTCCAGTTTAATGCAAATGTTCTTCAGGGAAGCAATTCTTTACTGAGTTGGATCCAGGCATGACAGACATAAGAACGTCAGAAGAATCCCACCGGATCGGACCAGTGAGGGTCCATCTAGTCCAGCCTCCTGTCCCACACAGTGGCCAGCCAGTTCTGCTAGAGGGCCATCAACAGAGCACAGAGGCCAAGGCCTTCTCCTAAGAACAGCATAGGAAGAGCCCTGCTGGATCAGGCCAGTGGTCCATCTAGTCCAGCATCCTGACTCACACAGTGGCCAACCGGTTCCTCTGGAGGGCCAACAACAGGGCAGAGATGCCCAGACCTTCCCCTGAAAAGAACATCCGAAGAGCCCTGCTGGATCAAACCAGTGAGGGTCCATCTAGTCCAGCCTCTCGTCTCACACAGTGGCCGATCAGTTCCTCTGGAGGGCCAACAACAGAACATCGAGGCCGAGACCGTTCCTCTGGAGGGCCAACAACAGGGCAGAGAGGCCGAGGCCTTCCCCTGAGAAGAACATCAGAAGAGCCCTGCTGGATCAGACCAATGGACCATCTAGTCCAGCGTCCTGTTTCACACAGTGGCCAACCTGATGCTAAATGCAAATTAATGGGCTACTGACATTAGTAAATATAATTTGAAACAGACAATCACATACTACTAAACATCGCTAATAATCCTTTTGACTAACATAACTGTGGGATCCAGTATGGCTCCCAACCTTTAATTTCTTTCATATTATATTTGGAAGATACTTTGTCTTTCAAAAAACAAACAAACACACTAGCCAAGACCTTGCCTAAAAACCCCATGGGAGGGGCTGTGGTTGACTGGCAGAGCCTCTGCTTGGCATGCAGAAGGGCCCAGGTTCAATCCCCAGCATCTCCAGTTAAAAAGACCAGGCAGGAAGTGATGTGAAAGACCTCAGCCTGAGACCCTGGAGAGCCGTAAAGAGCAGTGCATCTGCTTGGCATGCAGAAGGTCCCAGGTTCAATCCCCGGCATCTCCAGTTAAAAAGGACCAGGCAGGAGGTGACGGGAAAGACCTCCGCCCGAGACCCTGGAGAGCTGTAAAGAGGGGCTGTGGCTCAGTGGAAGAGCCTCTGTCTGGCACGCAGAAGGTCCCAGGTTCAATCCCTGGCATCTCCAGTTAAAAAGGACCAGGCAGGAGGTGATGGGAAAGACCTCCGCCTGAGACCCTGGAGAGCTGTAAAGAGGGGCTGTGGCTCAGTGGAAGAGCCTCTAGGTTCAATCCCCGGCATCTCCAGTTAAAAAGGACCAGGCAGGAGGTGATGGGAAAGACCTCCGCCTGAGACCCTGGAGAGCTATAAAGAGGGGCTGTGGCTCAGTGGAAGAGCCTCCGCCTGGCATGCAGAAGGTCCCAGGTTCAATCCCTGGCATCTCCAGTTAAAAGGACCAGGCAGGAGGTGACGGGAAAGACCTCCGCCCGAGACCCTGGAGAGCTGCTGCCGGTCTGAGTAGGCAAGACTGACTTTGATGAACCGAGAGTCTGATTCAGTCGGAGGCAGCTTCTTGGGCTGTGAGTCAGCTGTGACATGTTGGCACTTTCCACCACCCGCCACAAAATCTTATGCCGGAAATAATATTTCATTAATCTTTTAGATCCCAGAAGACTCCTATTTATCACTGCTCAGAATAAGACTCTGAGGCTTCCGTTACCTGTCGGATGGGCTCCCCGAGGATTTCGAGGGTCCCGGGATAATTCTCAATGAGCGACACGTGGAGGTTGTTTTCCGCGCGCCTGGAGAGCGCAGACACGATGGCGTAAGCCTGCTCCAGCAGCGCACAGTTTTGGTTGCTCCTTGCCTTGTTCCGGATTAATTCCTGTTGGGGGAGGGGAGAAATGGATAATGCATACAACCCTATGTCGTCTAATTGAGGAGGTCTTCCTTCATTTAGAAAACTTATATGCCGCCTTTTCCAGAGATAGCCTTGAAGTGGCTTACAGCTAAGATAATAATATAAAAACCATCAGAACACCCCCCCATAAAAAGCAAAGCTATTAAAACACACACATAAAATAAGTCAATGCCATCCAAGCACAATAATATAAAAACGGGGTTAAAAACCATTAACACAAGACAGAGCGTATGAAAAGTACTGAGTTCGGACACGTGGCGTAGAGATCAGCTCATAGTTCGCTTCAAAGTGCTGGCTCCTACCTTTAAAGCCCTATATGGCCAGGGTCCGACATAGCTGAGGGACCGCCTTTCCCCATTGATACCCCAGAGAGCACTACGGTCGGGGGCTCAACATCGACTGGTGATTCCAGGCCCCAGGGAGGCCAGGCTTGTGGCAACCAAGGCCGGGGCCTTTTCAGTGGCAGCTCTTACCTGGTGGAACAAGCTCCCAGAGGAGATCAGGGCCCTGCGGGACCTTTCACAGTTCCGCAGGGCCTGTAAGACGGAGCTCTTCCGCCAGGCTTTCATATAGGGGCCGCCGCCACCATCACTACCACCTGACTCATGGGAACATGGGGCATTGAGATGGCCCATTATAAGAGCGATGGCCCACGATAAGATCGAGTTACAGTATTCTGATGGAGCGGTACTGCCGATTCGGGCTTGAGTAACATCTACTGATCACCGTCTTGACTTGACTGATTTGACTAAATGGTTAATATGAACATCCCAGAGCACTTTAATTTTGATAAAATGGCTGTTCTTATGTGTTTTAATGTTTTATACTTCGCACACGGTGCCCTTGTCTGTTAGCCGCCCTGAGCCCGTTCGCGGGGAGGGCGGGATAAAAATAGAATAAATAAATAAAACAAAATAAATAGTTTATTAACTCACTGGAAATTAGACTCTGATTGTCACATTATTAACTGCCGCAATGCCCCTATATAAATCAATGGTGCAACCTCATTTGGAATACTGTGTGCAGTTCTGGGCACCACACCTTAAAAAGGATATTATAGCTTTGGAAAAAGTGCGTAAAAGGGCAACTCGAATGATAAAAGGGTTGGAACACTTTCCCTATGAGGAAAGGTTACGGCGCTTAGGGCTCTTTATCTTGGAGAAAAGCGCTTAGGGCTCTTTAGCTTGGAGAAACGATGACTGAGGGGTGACATGATTGAGGTTTATAAGATTATGCATGGGAAAGAGCAGGTAGAGAAAGAGGTACTTTTCTCCCTTTCTCACAATACAAGAACTCGTGGGCACTCCATGAAATTGCTGAGCAGTTGGGTTAGAACGGATAAAAGGAAGTACTTCTTGACCCAAAGAGTGATTCACACATGGAATTCACTGCCACAGGAAGTGGTGGCGGCTACAAGCATGGACGACTTCAAAAGGGAATTAGATAAGCATATGGAGCAGAGGTCCATTCGTGGCTATTAGCCACAACGTATAGATAGGGGCTCTGGGGCAAGTGATGCTCTGTCTTCTTGGTGCTTGGGGGGGGGGTCAATAGTGGGAGGGCTTCTAATGTCCTGGCCCCACTGGTGGACCTTCTGATGGCACCTGGTATTTCTGGCCACTGTGTGACACAGAGTGTTGGACTGGATGGGCCTTTGGCCTGATCCAACATTGGCATCTCTTATGTTCTTAAATTCTTTCATTTATATAAGATGGTTGCTAACCCAACTGTTTTAAATACTTAAGTTTTAGACAGATATATCAGGCCTCTTTTTGTAGCAGGAACTCCTTTGCATATTAGGCGACATACCCCTAATGTATCCAATCCTCCAAGAGCTTACAGTGGCCCCTATAAGAAGAGCTCTGTAAGCTCTCCGAGGATTGGCTACATTA